TAGCTTTCTCTAGGCTTCTTCAAAACTGACAGCTGACCAAAACCACCTACAGCAAAGCACCTGAGAAACAATTACAAAGCACCTGAGAAAGGAAGCTGAATACAATCTATGAAAGGAAAATGAATACTACAATCAATTACAAAAGATCCCTCACCAGGAATCCAGATTTGTTTTGGTGATAGTTTATTATAGAGGTCACCCTGTTTGTTTGAGGGAGGGGGGGGGGGCCCCCTTTACTAATCAGGATCCAACATTAGACGGGTCACATAATAACATAATAATTTGCTTTTACTTGTTTGTGTTGTCTGTTGTTTGCTGCTGCCGCTCCCTTTTGTGGGTGAAGTATCTTGAATTGCCAGTTGGGTTCTCGGTGCGTCCTGCGCCTGGGTCAGGTCGATCAACAGCTGGTACAACCTGCGTTGGCAGAGCTGAATCTTCAACAGGAGCACGAGAGGCAGCAAATGGAAAGACTTTGCGCGGAGCACGAGATGAAGCTGTGCCAAGCAACAGACGTGCTGCAAGATGCAAGCCGCAAGGCCGTAGTTGCGGAGACAAGTGGCGGAGTGAGTAGAAGAGAGTTGGATGCAGGAACGTGATGTGGTTACCAATTTCGAGCTTGGCCCAGGCTAGAAAACTGGTTGATTGGATGCATTTTGATGTGACTGGAATACTAGTTTTGAAATCTGCAGGGCAAAACTGCGACTACGAGGTAGACTTCCAGGACTGACGTACCGTGTAGGTCGTGTCGCAAAAGATCTCGCAAAGAACCAAACAGGTTTGTGGTCCATTTGACGTGAGGGCATCCCCAAGAGCAACCAATCAACTACAATCACCAAATCTGCGCAGACTAGTGACTGGCCTCATAAAATCCAAAGACAAATCATACGATCGCTTTCTACGTTTTGCTCGCCACTGGAGATGAGCGCCACAAACACACACTTAGATAAAGGCTCGCAAGAGCAGTATCAGTTGTGATCTCCCTGTGATGCTAGCACTTTACGTTACTGAAAGCTAGACCTTGACTTGCAAAACGGCATGAAGTGCTGGGTCGGCAAATTGAATTGTTTGAGCATCACGCATAGCCCTTTAGGTAACAGTGGGTTGAACAGCTTGCTCAACACTTCAAAAACAAGAGAGTTGAAAAATTTGCAGGTACACTTACACAGGAGTGATCAGCTCCCGCTTCACCAAGGCTTAGAGAGCGTCTTCGTTGGTGGTAGGCTCTCTGCCTTGCGGCCACCCTGATTAAAAATTCCTTGGAAACAGGAGTTGACACACACAGTAAGCCGTCATTCGGCGCACGCTCTTTTTGGTTCCGCGGGATGGGGGGGGGAAAAGTGCGGTGACTAAACGAGCCTGAAAGTCAACCTAACAAGCCTGAAGGAAAAACACAAACGAAAAAGGAAAGGGTGCAGGGGGTGTGGGGGTGTGGGCAGGGCGTGCATTGACTATATAAACGAGCCTAAACGTCGACCTAACAAGCCTGAAGGAAAGCCCAAGCAAACGAAAAAGGCAAGGAACGAAAGGATGCGAGGGGTGTGGGGTGGGGGGGAAGGGGGTTGCAGGCCCGAAGGCCTTTGACAAGAAGCTGTAACCGGCGCACACTTGACTAAAAGGCCTCAGTTACACCTAAAAAGCCTCTAGCAAACGAAAAAAGACTTAGAAAACGAAGCGCAACGGCAGGAAAGAATGAACCGAACAAATGAATACTTAGTGGTCCCGCCCGTATCCTATGTCCTATGACTACCTAGCCACGTGGAATGTCATTCTGCTGAAGGATAGTCAGTAAGCCCTGCGGCATAGGATCAGCAATCTCGAGCAAAACGCAAAGTCGACGAAATTCCAGTGCGAATCAAGGGGTTCGTGGAAAGTTCACCCGTGGGGGTATGTGCATATGCGGTGCCCCTCGCTGGGGATCACACCACATCCCACAGTGGGACTCTGTGGCGAGACACACTTCGATAAAGGCTCGCAAGAGCAGTATCAGTTGTGATCTCCCTGTGATGCTAGCACTTTACGTTATTGAAAGATACCTATACCCTCTTGAGCTACTGCCGGGAGGGGGGACCTCAAAAAAGTAAGGGGTACCCCCCTAGGGGGGTCAAAAAATGTAAGTTACCTCCCCCAGGCACCATCGAAACGGGTAAGGGGGGTAAGTTCCCCCAGAAGTGGCAGTAGCTTTACTGGACCTGATCGAATACACCAAGTGAGGCCACGAAGGTCGACGGTGTGCGAGCGCCAGCGATGCACACCTTTTCTATGGCTGCGGATGCAGGTATTGGGCTACGATAGTCTTGAGCCAAATGAATTAGGTCGATTGCGGACTGAAGAACTACATACAAGTCTATATACAAAGAACAGGTGCTACACACGTATAGCGTAGACACGCCTAGGGGACCTAGGGCACTACAGACACAAAACAGACACAAATTTTCTTCGCGTCGAAGCTTACGATCGCTAAAGTACAAAAGCTTGCAAGCGCAAAAGAATGCAAATAAATTATAAAAGTTCTGGCATCGAAGAACTAGACCGTAGATGCCATTCTGGCTCATCTAGGTTGCATCAGATACTCTATACAAGTCTACGAAAGGCTTTTTGTGGCATCGAAAGTTCCGGAATATCGGAAATTTTTCCAAGTCAAATTCAAGTCGTTAAATTTAAGTCAAATTCTGTAAGGCCTTTGTTCTCTATATCGGGGTCATTTAGTTCATGCATTTATTTAGCTCTCGCGCAGTTTACCTTCAGTTCACTAGCCGGAATATCGGCTGTTTAGAGGCTAAGCGCCCGAGGACCATTGGTCCTGTTGCTGCCAGGAAGAGCTTGACCATCGGTCTTGTCGATTCTGTCGTGCTCTTTCTTTCAGGCGTTCAACTCGTTCTGCATTTTTCTCAACACGGTTGATGGCAGAATTATGGCTACGAACTCTGATCTTGCGTTGGCTGGCGAGCGAAAAATTGCATTGGAATGGATGGTGGTATGCCTCGTCGCTGCTTTTCAGACACATGTCAAGGTGATTTGAATGTTTAAGGAGTTCGTTGACCTTTATGGTAGTCTCTTTCTGACGAGGAGGTTCCTCGTATCCGGTACGTCCACGGTCTTCCGGAATATCGGATGACCTTGCCCGCAACGTGTGCATGTCCTTGCCGTAATTTAAGACGATCTGCAGCAAGCAGTCGCAATCGGCGTCCAGACCTTCCAAAGCGGTGAGCTGCTCAGTGGCGAGGGTTGAGACCTCCCAGTTATAAGTGATACGCTTGCTCGACTCACGCTTTTTGTTCGCTGAAACAAGGATCTGGTCAAGGATGGTAAGGACAGCGCCGGTCGCCGGATCGGCATGTCGATCGGACCGGAAGTTTTGCGGTTCGTGAACTGATTTGCATCACACACGATGACGTCTACCTGGTCTGCTACGGCTGTGATCAAAATCTTCGTGATGGCGTTCTTGCCGGCCGTAATACCTGACTGGAAGGCATGGGCATTGACATGAAAGAAAGGCACAAACTCGCAATTCAGGCATGTGCATACGTTTGCAGTCATTTAGCTTCCTGTCCGAAAGATTGGACACTCATGAAGCAATGCCTCAGTATCCACCGGTTCGGCTTGAGTGAAATAGGTGGATGCTTGTGCCACAGCTAAAGTGTCAGGGCAGACAATTACCTCCATGTTATCTGCTGGACCAGCTCCCTCTTCGAGGGCTACCCGGAGGTTCTTCCTTACTCCACGGTCATCGGTGATGCCGCCGTCTGACTCTTCGACCTTTCCCCAGATCACGCGGAATGTCGCGGCGTGGGCTACCCAGGCTATAGGCGTTCGCCTTCGAGCTGGATTCGGCGGATGAGATCCAATCTCGACGTAATACCGTCGGTGGAACAGATTCAATCCTGCAATTGATGGTGATTCACCATCTGATAAGGCGACGACACGCATACACTGGTATTGGTTGAAAAGCTCTCGGTGTCGTTCAACGCCATCCGCCTCCAACAGGATCGTAATATGTGTGTCGTGTTCCTGACTAGGTAGCGCGGCAAAACGGCATACTGATCCGTATCTGCGAGCTCCCTGGGCAGAGGCTGCTTGCCGTTAAAATGAGGCACTCGATTGATATCGCCAAAGTTGAGCAGCAAGACACTGACGTGTTCGGTCGAACGAAGAAGCCTTGCCTCGTCAAGATCAAAGTCTCCCTGATTGGCACGATATCCTTGCATGTAAGAACGGCTAAGTTCGACAATCTGTCGCATCTCGTCGCCGTTATACCGGCGTTTCGAGTCATAATAGCAGCTTGGTCGAATGATAGGGTACGGTGCTACATCTGATTGTTCGTCCCAGTGTTGAGCAGCTGAGACTGAGGGAATGGATCGGCTCGCATAGGTTGGATGGTTCGAATAATGGTACTTGCGAGCTCCTTCGAGGACAATGCGATCCATTGCGGCATATCCTGTTGAGCCGCCGCCAAGAACAAGGTGCAAACGGCGAAGTCGACCGGCGTGTTGGTCAGACGAGGACCAGCCCTCAGATTCGGACGCGAAGGGAACCGTAAAATCGATCTCGGCTGTGATTTCTTCGCGCTCATGCTCACCCAGTGGATCGAGCCGGAATATCGGCGTCTGGGACTGTCGAACACAGATAGATTCGATTGCGTGAACAATGATTGTCGGCCTCGTGGTAGCAGTCGAGACAGGACCCATGGCCGCACGCACGACAAAAGAATAAGACGTCGGCCTGGGGCGATGAAAGTACTTAGTAGTGGACTTCTGAGCTTGCTTTGCCAAATACTTCGTTTTCGGAATATCGGAAAACGAGACTCTGCGACCCTCTGATGGCGAGCGGGTGGTTCCCGGTGCGCGGTCAGCTTTTTTAAGGACAGCTCGAGAAGGTGTTCGTGACCGTGCTCAGGAGGACCAAGTCCTTGTACTCAGTTCCGTCTCTTGTAATCCGGTTCTGTGGGAGTGGGTGCTTTCGTGGCACTGGGTGTTTTGCTGTTTCTTCATGAACAAGGCTGTAGACAGCTGCTTGTTGGAATGGGAAATTGCCTGACAGCAGTCATGTCGGCTGTAGTCAGCTGCTTGTTGGAATTTGAGAACAGCTGTGCCTGAGAGCTGTCATGTCATGTCAGTTGGTATAAATGATGTTTTGCGCGCGTTGGGAAAACAAATTTAAATGTTGCATTCGGGCCACCTGTCGACGATGATTCATTGACCGCCAAACGTTCATGCTTTTTATAAAAACACTTTGGGTGGAACATGTCAGATGTACACTGCACATGTCAGATGTAAACTCATGTTCAATCAAGATTGATTGGCGTTGTTTGCAGTTTCTTTCGACACGCAGCTTCAATTAACCTGCATGCCTGGCAAAGAGATGATTCAGTGATGCGACTGTGGTGAAGTTGCCGCTGGGGCTCCAGTTTTTTTTGCTTGGCACGGGTCCGTCGCGGTCAGGCCCTTATATGGATCATTCCATTTTGCGAAGAATTCTACTAGGCCAATCAGTGGAGACTGACCTGGAAACGCCTCTGAGTTAGGCCAATCCGGACCGAAGTTCAAGGCTCATTGAGGGTGCGTTGTGCATTGGGTTAAGTTAGATTAAATTGAATCTTGAATGTGGTCTGTAGGCTCCATCTATTTTCCGCCTTTACCACTTGTTCCAGGCCTGGTCTGGCTGAGATGATCGAGAGATGATTATAGACTTTGTTTTTGATTGTGGTTTAGCTGAGATTGGAGATA